AATCTAAACGCCTCTTTTCGACTAAGCCAACCGTAGGTTACGCAAGGTTTTGGATTGTGGAGCGACTGACTCGCCGTTTCGACCGATTTCAATATAGTCTAGTCAATATTCAAATTATGCAAATGCCCAAATAAGGGAATTTAAATACTTTACATATTTCAGTATTTAAGACTTTTTTTTTTGCTGATGTACCTCTGCTGATTAGAAACAAAAATATCCAACTTCTCAGCGAATGTCACAAGTTAGTGAAATGTTAATAAGCCCTTCTATTAAACTTTATAAACACACATTATTAATAATTCCGATTTGACAGACAATTTTAGATGGATCAGAAAAAACTCCTTCGATCTCAATCTCAGATTTTTCGAAACATTGTCAATTTAACTGCGATAAATTAATATGGAATTTCTTGAATAAGAAACGAAAAAGGGACACCTCAACATTAAAGGTGGCCTCTAAAAATAGAAGTGAAGAAATTAAAAAATATGTGATAAAACAATTAAAAAAAAGCTCAATAGTGATTGATCACAGTGATACGGATCCATCTAAAGCACGCGAAGTTTTAAGAAATGCCCAAGTAGGGCAATTTCTATATCAATTAAAATTCAAAGTCTTGGATGAGTTATATGATAAATTAGAAACAAAGGGAATTAAGTTAAAAAACTTTGTTCCTGATTTCATAGAGGTCATTGAAGAGGATGGTGAAAAACGGTTAATGATTTGGGACGCCAAGGCATCAAAAGAAGCACGTGTTCCTTATCAGGTAAATGTTTACCATTTTTTATTGTTGAATAATTTTAATTTGAATTTAATTAAAACGTTGTTACTGGTATTCACTTTTTTAAGTTCCAAGTCGCTTCATACGTTTTTCTTTTAAAGCATATGACCGAAAACTTACGTGGAATTTCAATGTCTCGATTAGGCGGATTATTTCTCTCGTCTTCAGAAGGTTTAAAACGTCAAACTTTCCGTATAGATTTTCTACTTCCAAAAATTGAAAGATTTTTTGCAAAATTATCTTCAGCGGATAGCATCAGTTAAGAAAGTTTCATGGCACTTTAATGCTCGCTGTAAAACTTGTGAATTCGTAGATGATTGTCGTAAAGAAGCTGAAGGAACAATGGCTATGATTCCATATTTATCAACAGAAAATGCATCATATTTGAAACGGGCCATTCGAAGTGTGAAAAATAATAACAAGTTTTTGAAGGAAAATAATCATAAAAGGTTTACAACCGATGGCGATAATGCTATGGTAGATGAAAATGATACAGATATTGAAGATTTGTATAATAATTTTAATAAATTTACCATTAGCGGCAGGAATGAAATAGTAGAAGATGAACCAGATTATAAAGATCTGGCTAATTATCTTAGTCATCATATAATTAATGATGAAGATACGAGAAATATTAATAGAAAAATAAAACAGATTATTAAATATGATAATGATCAAAATAGTTCACCTTATCTTGATGCACATGAAACAGGAAATGTCCAGGTAATAATTTTTTTTCTTTAATTTCAAATTTCAAATTACGAATTGCTTTGATAAAAAATTTTAATTCATCATTTTGTGTAGTTTATTGGCACACCAACAGTAACTTTTCCTCAGAAAACCGACCATAATCTCGTAATTGTAATGTCTTCTGACCCTTTTGTCTTGTATCCTTTTGGGTGGGCTATATGTCTTTACACCGGTGATGGAAAGATCATAAAAGAGTTTCGATACGCTGAATCTGTTTCTCAATATAAACAAGACGAAGCTTTGTCAGCATTTATCATATTTATGAATAATTTTATGACGTGTTTAGAAGAGACGTTCGAATATTTATCCAACAATAAATCTCGAGCATGTATATTTGTTTATTCTGAGCAGGAAAAAATTGCAATTCAAGACTCATTAATTGAGTTAATGACATTAAATTCTGATATAGTTTCTAATAATATTCAACAAAAAGCAGCACAATGTCTTTTTAATCTTTTTGAAGATTGTTCTCTTTTGTTAGCCGTCGGAAATGACGATAGTGAAAGTTCGAAACTTTCCGATGAGTGGAGGGAGTTTCCTAGGCTTATTGTTTTAGAGCACTCTGTAAAAGAAAATATTGCTATCAATGTTCCAGGTTTTTATAGTGTCATTGATGTTTGGGAACAAATGGTGAAACCCGTTTTTAAAGATAACCAAGAGCTTTTGATCGAATTGGAGCCTCATATCTTCAATATTGATCTTGAAGACATTCATTCTATGTGGGCTTCCGGAAATGTGATTAAAGACGAAATTAATAAATCTCATTTATTCAGATCCGAATTTGTTAATATTGTTATTCAAGCTTATTATACTCTTTTAAACAAATCGACAAATAATGTTGCATCAATATTAATATTTTCTCCTCAAGTGTTTACTCTTTCAAAATTTCGATCTTTTAATCATCATTATTTGGGCAAATTATATTTCTTTAAACAATTTGAAGCAATTACTACTTGCTCCCGAATTAAATTAGATAGATTTAAAGATTTTGTTCAAGGAGAAGCTATATACGGTATTCGTGTGAAATTTGACAAAATTATTAAAGAAAATAGTGAATTAGAGGCATCGTTTATTGTTTTAAGTGAATCTTTCTCGTTCGAACCATCAAATTTCAAAGAATTCATTTTGGTTAAAGATACTATGGAGGTATATTAATATGGGTTGCCTCAATAGAAAACAAGTAGATTGACACTTTTTTTAAAAAAAAAATAAATCGATACCTTAACTTTAGCTACTTATATGTTGGTGAATTTTAATGGCTGTTTTAATAATTCAAACTTTCTTTCTTTCTTTTGGACATTGAATTATTAAAGTTGCCTTAAGATTTGTCGAGATATGAGTCGTTAAAGTTAAGGTCAATCTATCTGTTTATGATTCAGTACAATTAAAAAATTATATAATTTTATAATGATTTATTTGTATTGTGAGCCCGATTTTTGGGGTCACGGGTGCCCGAATCGGGGTGACGATCCTTACCCGATCCAAGGTCACGCGAA